CGGAACTGGGAGCTTCTAAAATATGAATTAGGAAAGTTCTTAAGAGAATTTGGAAGTAATGTAGCAAAACAAAACAGATTAATGGAAGATGACATTCTTTCACAGCTGTCTGCTTTACCACTTAAAGGACCATTGACAGATCCTCAAAATACTAGACACTCCAAACTGCAGAATAAATTAGATGAGCTATATAGAGCCAACGCTAAAGGAGCCTATGTTAGATCCAGAAAAAAGTGGCTGGAAGAAGGAGAACAGAATTCAGCCTATTTCTTCAGGTTGGAAAGATCCAATGCTATGAACGCGTCTATTGATCGTCTCCAAACAAATGATGGTGCTCTTGATAATCCTAGAGAAATAGCTGCTTTTTATTCCAAATTTTACAATAACTTGTACACTTCAAGGTATTGTCATAATTCAGCCAAATCCTTTTTTGACTCTGTTAGTCAAAACAAAGTTATTTCATTCGAAGATAAAGAAGCTTGTGAGACCAATATATCTCAATCAGAAATTCTACAGGCAATTAAGAGCTTAAAAAATAATAAAAGTCCAGGCAGTGATGGACTAACTGCTGAATTATATAAGACGTTTGATGAAAATTTATCTCCTTTCTTACTAAAAGTGTTCAAGGAAAGTTTTGAACTGGAAGCACTTCCACCAACCATGACACAAGGAGTCATTACTCTGATACCCAAACCCAATAAAGATCGAGAATGTCTAGAAAATTGGAGGCCAATCACCCTTTTAAATAACGATTCTAAAATTTAAGCTTTAGTTTTAGCACAAAGAATGAAAAATGTACTTAGTATTATTATTGATGAATTGCAGTTTTATGGGCCAACGTCACATTACGAATAATATAAGATTAGTTTTAGATCTGTTAGATTACGAGGATCTCGTCCCTAATGACAGTTTCATGCTTTTCTTAGACTTCTACAAAGCCTTTGATTCGCTTGAGCATAAGTTTATATTTCAAGCTCTTACCAAATTTGGGTTTGGAGATCACTTTTGTAGAGCCATCAGAACACTATATAATAATAATAACAGTGCTATTAAATTAAAATTTGGAACCTCACCAAGATTTAGTTTGTCACGTGGACGTGGTGTAAGACAAGGCTGTCCTATATCTCCATATTTATTCTTACTTGCCTCTCAGTTTTTAGCCCTGCAAATTTCCAGTAATAATGTACAAGGTATTTCAGTTGATGATAGACAAATTCTAATTAGCCAGCTAGCTGACAACACTACTCTGTTTCTGAATGACGCGTCCCAAATCCCTTTAGCTTTGCAATTGATCGAGTCCTTTTCTAGAGCTTCAGGTCTCTGTCTAAACATCAACAAATGTGAGTTAATGTCAATTAAACACTGTGAAATTCCCTCTATTTGCAACATCCCTGTGAAAAATCAAGTTACATACTTAGGTATTGTCATTAATAAAGACCAAAAAGAAGATGTAAACTAAATTTTGATCCTTTAATAGTGAAAACACAAAGGAAACTCAATATGTGGCTGCAGAGAGATTTATCGATAAGAGGAAGAATTTTACTTTCTAAAGCTGAAGGATTGTCTCGACTGACTTATGCTGCTCTTTCCTTGGAGGTTGACAAAGGAATTAAAAAAAAAAGTTGACAGCATGTTAAACAACTTTGTTTGGAAAAACAAAATTCATTATATTAGGAAATCAGTAATAATGAATCCAATAAAACAAGGGAGACTGGATTTTTTGGATTTTGCTACCTTAAACAACACTTTTAAGATTAACTGGCTTAAGAATTTTCTTAAAAATCCCTCTTCCCTTTGGAATATTATTCCCAATTATATTTTCTCTAAAGTTGGTGGCCTGAATTTTCTTTTACTCTGTAATTATAATGTCTCAAAAATCCCTATCAAACTTTCTAATTTCCATAAGCAGATGCTCTTGTCCTGGTCCCTCATACACAAACACAACTTCTCTCCGCACAAATACTGCTTATGGAACAATAAGGATATTCTTTACAAGAATAAATCACTTTTCTTCAAAAAATGGTTTGAAAACAACCTACTTTTAGTTGGACAACTTTTTAATTCACAAGGCAGATTTTTTACAGAAATATACACTCACCTAAAGGATTATTAGGAACACCTGTTCAATTTCGCATTAATGCAATTATCTAATCAACCAATCACATGGCAGTTGCTTCAATGCATTTAGGGGTATGGTCCTGGTCAAGACAATCTCCTGAACTCCAAACTGAATGTCAGAATGGGAAAGAAAGGTGATTTAAGCAATTT